TTGTTGTTGTTTAGCAGGCCCAGGCCAGGTTTGAACCCACCAGTCCCAGGGCATGTGGCCAGCACCCTAATCACTGAGTATGGTCTCCGAGCCAACACTGATGTTTTTTATTACTTGCCATAGGAATGAGCCCCAAGCTTAATTTACGATGGCAGAATACTAGGTTTTCCTAATCCATCTGAATTTTCTCTTAATCAGTCTTTGACTTTACCACTTCTTCATCCTTAACAAAAAAATTCAATCATGAGAAACATGAAGGATGGTTGAGGAACATTAAAATCCTCAAAAGTAGTTCAACTCAACATACAGATGTAGATAGATGTGTATAATAATAACAATTAATCATGAAAGGTTAACTACATAGCAGATGCTATTCTACGTGTTTTATTTGTATATATTGACTGATTTAATTCTTACAGCAACCCTATGATGTCCTATTTTTCCTTCATTATTATGATTCTGCAGAAGGAAAACTAGGGACCAAAAAGGTTACAGAACTTATCCAAAGCTGAACTGCTAGTAAACAGAGGAACCCAGATTTGAACACAAACAGTACAATTTCAGAGTCCAGGCTCTTAAACACTCTACCGTATTGCCTCCTTATGATACTGTATTGGTCCATACTGAGTAACTGGTCAGCATGCTATGACGATCAGGTTGCTTCTGATTAAATTAGGATGCACAGGTATACATTTTACACTTTAGTCATGGACTGTACTTCTGCAAAAAACTGAACTCAGTTTGACATATCCCTCCCTGGCTTCACTTTCCGTTTCATAGGAAGGACTATACTATGATCTTTATGACTTAGAAAAAAAAGCTTATATTTCTATTTAAATAGAATTAGGGATGGTTAAAACAATCTCATTATCTTCTGGCACATTCCTTTGCCTTCAGATAGGACTGCCCTTGACCAGTTATTCAGATTGTTTAAGCCAAACACAAGGTTTTTCTTTTTATGTCATTCCACGGTAATGATGACTAAGAACTGCATTTATAACGAATGGGACCCAGATTATGTTTACTCGCACTATGCACACCCAGGAATCTGGAAATGAGTATTACCTGGAGAGAGTGGGCTGGAAGAAGGGTGACACCAGTGTAAAAGAGGAAGTGTAAACTTTTTTGGATGAAAAATATGTATCTTTACTTTAAAGTCTGGTCCCTTTTTTTTCTGACTTTAGGGCATAACCTCAAATGAAATTTTATTTTAACAGCCGTACTTCTTTTATTTATTTATTTTACTTATTTTATTTCTATTTCCAGTTAGGTATCTGCTTACTTTGAAAATGCTTACTTTGTAAGTAAACAGATCTTTATTATAATAAGCTTTCATCATTTTATTTAAAGAAATCAGTGGTTTGAGAAACTAACAGGTAATTTCCTACAGCTTTTACTAATTCATGGATTGTATGTCTAATAAGAACCCTTTCTCCAAGTGGGAACTGGGAGAGAAATGTGCTCTGGGAATTTCCTCATGTTCCTTTTTTCTCTTTCCTTTTCTTAGCTTACATCATAGTGTCAAGTCCGAGTGTTTGAAGAAGCTCTCCAATGATAGAATAAAGCATCGCAGGATAAAGTCAATGATTTCATAATATGTAAAACTTATTATTTATTCTGTGTGTATTTGCTTTTTTTAAAAAATGTTTTTATTTATTTATTTAATTTTTGCAGTTTTTGGCTGGGGCTGGGTTTGAACCCACCACTTCCGGCATATGGGGCCAGCACCCCACTCCTTTGAGCCATAGGTGCCGCCCTATTCTCTGTGTATTTGTATGTGTGTCAAGCTTGGGCTAATGCTCATTTATTTTAGTTTAATTGAGTAGAGATAGCAACATTTAATGTATAAAAATACTGAAAAGCATGGATTGTAATTATTGCTATTTTCTTTCTTT